GGATTTCTTCCTATGACTATTCTCGACAGTCCACACTTAATGCTCAGACTGGGGCATCGTTCCTTCTCACACTAATAAGTAAAACCTCCTCGATTCTTGCTCGAATCTCGGGCAATTATGCATCTACTCGGGTTCGACACGTCAACCTGGTTTATACTTCTCAAACCCGGACTAAGGGTTTTATGCTTTATTTCTCGGGACATGAGAAATGGCAAGCGGGTCGGTTGGGCGGATATTAATTAGCTTAAATACTTGCGTACCTTCTTCAAGGTCAGATGGTTGCAGTTCTTGAGTTTTGTTTGGAACTCTACTCGAGAGAATCTTCTCGAGTCTCACCATCCTTGCGTTAACGTGATCACATGCGGCATCTTCTATGGTGTTCTATACTGCGTTCTATCTCCCCTCGACAATCGAGGATGCTTATGATTATGCTGGGGCAAATTCTCAACATGTAGTTTAGCCTCAGACAATGTTCAATTTCATACTTATGCCCTCGACATCGAGTATCAATGGCATATTCTGTCTTCATTCATGATGCTTCTCGATCCACTACTCTGTGGTTTTTCTCGAAGGTTTGGGTCTATTACCTCTCGCTCAAAAGCATATGTCACAGTTCTCTAGTTGACTCCTCATCTCGACTGTAGATATACCTTAGCCGCTGCTAATGGCGTATATTTTAAGACTAGTGGGAATCTCCGCTACGTCTCCTTCTCGACAACAGATTATATTGGGCCAATTTCTTGGCATACAGCTCCATCTTATATTTCTTCTCGAACTTATGTTTTCGACAACAAATGTCAATAATCACAGTCTATTACATCTTCTCTCTTGGTTCTCAACATAGTATTGTCAGACATCTCCTTCTCGAGATTATCTTCTAGAAGTCCTCGAGATTCATGTGTTCGACCTCATTTAGGCATATCTCTTGCCTCTATTCACGATACTATTCGGTATCACCTCTCTGTTATTATTCTTGAGATTTGGAGTTAATGCCTCTCGATCAGAAGTGCCCATTATAGTCTTCAAGCAGATCCCTTGTTCTGCCGGTTATTGACAACACACCATTATATATGAAATAGTGGGAATCTCCACTACTTCTTCTTCTATAATGCTCTCAAGGAGCGGGACACTCGCCTCGATATTTCTCTGGTGTAGATTGTGAAGATCATCACATGATGCTTTCTCGATTAAAAGTCTGGACTAGTGACTTTATCTTCCTCAGACTTCAAAATCAATTATTATAAGTGACATGCACATCAAGAAAGGTACACGCTGGTGCTTTTATTGCTTTAATCTCTCATTGATGCTAACCTGTTGCAGGTTCTTGATCCCAGTCAGTTTTTTCCGAACTTGGGGAAACTATATACTTCACGTTATCAAGCCTACCCTATCTCCAGACTTCGAAGTATAGGCTTGATAAGGGGCACTTGACGAGTCCAAATTAGTACGGCCCGTGACTAAGCCGGCCCAAGTTCGGTGAAAGGTCCAACCGGCCTTTGGAAGCTTCTAGGTCGGTTCTTAATTACTTTTTTACCAAGAAAGGGTTCCATAACCTGGCTCTATAATAGGGATCAACCCCTCACAATTAAAGGTACACTTTATGCACCCGGTTTATACCCTAATTACGAATACTCTTACTAACTTAAGCATCGGAGTGTCTACCCTCGGGAGACCCCAAGGCCGTCTTTTGCAGGTTTTAGGTTTCGATACCGCCTTGACCGCCGAAGTAACCAATCGGAGACATCGGTGAAGTTCCATGCTTCGTCACATACACTACTCTCTTTCCTGATGGCACTATTTATTTTTTGCCTCCTTGTGTGTTTGGATATCTATGCTTTATTCATCAGTTATCTCCAAGGACTGATAAGTTAGCACCCCGCTCCAACAAATGTGTCTTCATTGGGTATTCCCGCACTCAACGGGGGTACCGATGCTATTCTCCATCTCTACATGGGTATTTTATTTCTGCCGATGTTACATTCCATGAATTCCTTCCTTATTTTTTAGGTAGTGATTCATCTATACACGTCCCTAAACATTTACCTATTTTTTCCTCTATTACTATACCACCTTCCACATCTGAACTCTCTCCAGCTCCTCTCCTTCCATCGCCTCCAATTGCCTCCCTTCCTCCTGTACTTCCATCTCGCTTAGACCATCCGGATTTGCTCACATACAGTCGTCGTCGTCTACCTATTCGCTCTGTTCCTCCTTTACTTGTAGGCGAGTCTATTACAGGTTCTGGTTCTGATCCTAAGGGTGGTTCCTCTCCTCCTGAGACCTCTCCTGCGCCTGTCTCGCTTGCCTACTTAGTTCCCTCTCCTGTGCCAGGTATGTCTGACCTTGATCTTCCTATTGCTTAACGCAAGGGTCAACGATCTTGTACTACTCACCATCCCATTCAGAATTTTTTCACTTATTCTCACTTAGTTCCTTCATATACTGCTTTTGTATCTTCTTTGTTCTCTGTCTCTATTTCCCAATCTCTTCAAGAAGCCCTTTCCCATCCAGGTTGCCAGGCTGCTATGCTTGAAGAGATAAAGGCACTCCTCTCTAACAAGAATTGGGACCTTGTGCCTCTTCCTCCTGGAAAATCTGTAGTTGGTTGTCATTGGATATTCACTATTAAGGTATGTTCTGATGGCTCCATTGACCGCCTTAAGGCTCGATTGGTTGCTAAAGGGTTCACTAAAATCCCTGGTCTTGATTATGAAGATACCTTCTCTCCTGTAGCCAAAATAACTTCCATACGGCTCTTATTTTCCTTGGCTGACCAGTATAATTGGCCTCTTCACCAACTTGATATCAAGAATGCTTTCTTGAATGGTGATCTTAAGGAGAAGTTTATATGGAGCAACTTCCTGGTTTGCTCAGGGGGAGTGTGGTCCTGTTGTGTGCCGCCTTCGAAAAGCTCTTTATGGCTTGAAACAATCCCCTAGAGCCTGGTTTGGACGCTTTAGTGACACTGTCATTAAGTTTGGCCTCCATGCTCAGTTAAAGATCACTCAGTCTTCTATCGAATATCACCTACTGGTAAAAGAATTCTTCTTGTTGTTTATGTGGATGATGTCCTTATCACGGGTGATGATTTGACAGGAATTGAGACTCTTAAGAATTTTCTACACTCTCAATTCCAAACAAAAGATTTAGGAGCTTTAATGTATTTCTTGGGCATTGAAGTTGCCCGTTCTAAAAAGGGTATTTTCATTTGTCAAAGGAAATATACCCTTGATATTTTGTCTGAAGCTGGATTATTGGGTTCACGACCTAGTGATACTCCGATGGATCCAAATTTAAAGTTATTACCATCTGAAGGGGAGCCATTCTTTGATCATAGTTGATATAGACGCACTATTGGGAAATTGAACTATTTGGCTATACCATGACCGGACATTGCCTTCGCTGTCAGTGTAGTTAGTCAATTCCTTGACTCACCAAAGTGCCTCACTGGAATGCAGTGGTTCACATTCTTCATTATCTCAAGAGTGCTCCAGGTAGAGGCATTCTGTATCAGAATCATGGGCATAATGCTATTGTTGGCTTCTCTGATGCTGATTGGGCAGTCTCACCTATTGATAGGCGCTCTACATCCAGTTATTGTGTCTTTTTTTTGGAGGTAATTTGGTTTCTTGGAAGAGTAAAAAGCAGACTGTGGTTGCCCGTTCTAGCGCAGAGGCAGAATACCGGGTCTGGCACTTCCTACATGTGAGCTGTTATGGTTAAAACATATACTCACAGAGATTGGCGAGCCTATACTTGCGCCAATGAAACTCATTTGCAATAACCAAGCGGCCTTACATATATCTTCTAATCCGGTATTTCATGAATGGACTAAGCATATTGAGATAGATTGCCATTTTGTTAGAGAGAAACTTGTATCCAAGGAAATTGTTACCGAGTTTGTTGGATCCAATGATCAATTAACAGATATTTTTACTAAATCCTTGCGAGGTCCTAGAGTTGATTATATTTGTAACAAGTTGGCACCTATGACATATATGCTCAAACTTGAGGGAGAGTGTTAATATAAAGGGTAGTTTTGTAACTTTATTATTCTTGTGTAAAGATATATATATATATATATATATATATATATATATATCCTGTAATTCCTTATTCAATTGATATGAACATTATTCTCTTCCCATATTTAAGAAGGTATATGCCATAAATAGAGTTCTCGGCACTTGCATCCCTTCGTTTGATCTGCCATGGTTCATTTATATGGAATTTGCCGAAAATCTCTCCCAGTCAGGAAAGAAGTCTCTTTACTTGTTTCCCTAATGATTGCAGAGTTGCTTCACCCATTCAATATGTTTGGCATCATGTTACTTACCAACGCAAAATCAGCGCAATGTGTTTATTCATGACAGACACTGACTTCATGATCTGAAAGAAGAATATTTCAAGATGCAACTGCTTCATTTCTTAAATACGAAGCAGCGCATCTGAAATGTGTTTATTCATGAAAGACATCTCATGATGCTCAGATATAAAGGGATAAAAATAAGAAAAACAAAACCTGACATGGAAAAACAGAAATTGCACAATGTTCAGTTGAACAGTGTGTGAAGGGAGGTTGGGAGTAGATGAAAAGCTAACAACAAGAAAATGGCAAGAGAACAATTCGGATGATCTCCATCTGAAGCGACACAATGTCTGACTGTGCTTTTTCTAACATTGTGATACATAAAAACTAGTTCATGCCATTCATCATTTACCAAAGGCAAAAATTAGCTCTTCAAGAATTTTCAAATAATCCTTGTTAGTGTCCAATTACCTATGCGCCACACAACCTTTGCCTGTTATAATCTCAAACCATGTATTCACATGTTCTGCAACTTTACGATAAGAATTTATTCATACAATTCTTGCCAAGTTTGCTACACTCTACTTTATTCACCAATGCTTGTTTCTTGTTCAACAGTTTCCTCTCAAATCCTCACCAGATTATCACCATATATACCTTTCTCCATTCTCATTTTTCACCTCCAGTTCATCTTTTTCTCTGCATTCCAAATCCAAAGTCGGCCCTTTACTTGTATATACATCACCATTTCCAACTTTGGCAAGAGATTGAATCATTTCCAGATTTGAAATCTGCAGTTTGGTTACATGATGGATAAAGCAAAATTAGCTAGAAACTGGATATTTTTTGCAATAGTTTCCTTCTCCCTTACTTTTTCGAGTAAGTTCCTTCAAAAGGGATAATGCAATGGAACCGTTTCATTTTCCATTTGACTAATTCTTTGTTTTGCCTTTTAATTGACAGATGCAATGATATCAGGCAGGATAGGCATAAATTATGGTAGAAATGGGGACAATTTGCCATCAGCATTTGAAGCGATCGAGCATCTACAAAACATGAATGCGTATCGAGTGAAGATCTTTGATGCCAGCCCTGAAGTGCTTAAACTACTATCCGGGACAAAACTTCAAGTCTCAATCATGATTCCAAATGAGCAACTCCCGGACATTGCGTCGAACCAGGACGTGGCGGATCAATGGGTGATCGAAAACGTTCTTCCTTACTATCCTAAGACCATGATTCGTTACATCATGGTTGGGAATGAAGTTCTAAGCGTCAAGAATGATACCGTGTTGTGGTACAACCTTGTTCCCGCGATGATAAATGTCCACAACGCGATCAAATTGCAGAACATTTCGAATATCAAGATAGGGACTCCGCTGGCAATGGACATTATGGAATCAACTTTTCCACCATCAAATGGGAAATTCAGGGATGATATGCCTGTTTATGAAGTGCTGGTGCCATTGCTGAACTTCTTGAATAAGACTAACTCATTTTTCTTTGTCAATGTCTACCCTTATTTGTCCTGGTTAGAAAATCCAAACAAAATAAGCCTTGATTTTGCCTTATTCACTGCCAATAACTCATCATACAATGATCCAGGAAGCAGTTTGAACTACACAAACCTCCTGGATCAAATGCTGGATTCTGTTCACTTTGCAGCACTGAAAATCGGGTACGAAAATGTTTCCCTGGCGATTTCTGAAACAGGGTGGCCTCATTCAGGGGACATTGATCAGCCTGGTGCTAACATCCACAATGCAGCCACTTATAATCGGAACCTGATCCGAAAAACCACTGCTTTTCCTCCACTTGGCACACCAGCCAGGCCAGGAGTAGTCATCCCAACATTCATTTTCTCCCTGTTTGATGAGAACCTAAAACCAGGGCCAAGAACAGAAAGGAACTGGGGATTATTGAACCCAAACGGGAAGCCAATTTACGAGCTGGACCTAACAGGAGCACGGCTAGATCGCGAGTATTCCCGCTTGCCTGAACCATGGAACAACCTTCCATTTAAAGGCAAGATCTGGTGTGTAGCTGCAGTCGACGCGAACGTGGCGGATTTAAGGGATGCCCTGGATTTAGCTTGTAATGGAGGAAATGGAATTTGTGAATCTCTTGCCCCATTGAAAGACTGTTATCAGCCTCTGTCAGAAGTAGCACATGCTAGCTATGCATTTAGTTCATATTGGGCTAAGTACAGAAACAGCAGCAATGGTGTTCATTGTCACTTCAATGGCCTTGCAATGCAAACTACCATTGACCCAAGTAAGTATCTTTATCTCATCATAGAATCTAGGAAAAAAAAGAAAAAAAAAAACACTTTCATGAATAGAATCATCTTGGAAATTTACAAGTATTTGTACTAATTTGTTGTTTTCGTATATATGATGGTTTCAATTATGAACAGGTCATGGGTCATGCAGATATCCAAGCGTCACCCTTTAAACAAAGATATGTCGGAGTGAAGGATTCTGAGCTTCTTCTTCGCTTTGTCTTTGTAGTATCTAATCAGAAAGCTGTAATTCCTTCTACAAAAGATTTTTGAAAAAAAATCCCTTGCAAGTCAGATGATCTACATTTGTTTCCAGACTTATATGATTCGCATTCATATTCTTTTGTGTTGTATTAATGATGAAATAGGAGTATATTAACAAAAAGTCATTAAAATCAGAAATAAGAGAAGAAATAAGCAAATATACGATTGCTATATTTTGCTCTCAGATTTTCAATTATACCAGTTGATAGTAAGTAGTTATGATGTGGGTAAGAGATACTAAACTCATCAACAACATATGTAGTACTTCATATATTTCTCATAAAAAGAGATGTTGTTGGACCAAAAATAGTTCGATACAGTTTAAATCTTGTTGTACAAGTACAACAGAACTAATCCATCGAGTGCCACCATAAAACCATCAAAACTACTCCCTTCGTCCCAAAATTATTGTCCAATTTGAGTATTCATTTTTAGTTCAAATTGTACTAAAAGTAAAATTCCAAACTGGACAAACATTTTGAGACAGAGGGAGTTTTAGATCTTCTCATGATGATCATGGTATTAGTTAGTACTCTTAAATATTGTTGCACAAGGGCAGTGCAGTTGAAGTGGTGATATCAGAGGCATGAATGATGATCGCCAAAAGAAATGTTCTGAAATTCTGAAATTGAGGCATTGCCACCTGAATATTCTGAAATTGAACTTTTTGTCTAAGGTATTCCTACTGAACCATTATTCATATGTCTCCTTAAATCATAACTTTTCTCTTGCAGAAAAGATGGTTGCTGTCATTTATGTGAGAAGAAAAGTCGCAAGCAACAATTAAACCCGAGCAAAAAAAAAAGAACCCAGAAACTTCATTGTTTTTCTCTTTTGGGACCAAAAGTCTTGTTTTAGCCTGTGGTACTTATGTGTCACTACTTTACTTAGCGCTTTGTTGTTCTTTATTTCCAGGCGAGCTATTAACAAATCAGAAGTCCTCCCACTTCTAAAGCAGCATAAAGTAAACTATTTTACTCATACTGATTCAAGGCTTGCCAACAATAATATTTCAAGTACTATACAGAAGTTAAGATGCAGAGTAAATTACAGAGGTTTGAAACACTCGGCGAAAAATTGAGTATCAGGGGAAAAACCTTGGCTTCAAGAATGAGACAGAATGGGAGTCCTTATCTTGCTCTTTATTTTAAGGTTTAGTTCTGAAGTATTTGGCAAGATTTTTGTATGTTATGCTGAAAGAATCGCCTCTTCCGTATCATTGGCTTGAAAGTTTAACTGCAGTTGAATTTGTAATATACACCTTATTTTGCATCATAACTTCGAGTGATTTGAATTTCCTAGATCTCTTGTAGTGTTAAATAGCATTCTTTGTTGACTAGACAAGTAGAAGAGTTAAAGAACTGGTAAATATGTTGAACATATGATTGATTAACTAGACTGATTTATCATCAAGTAGAGTACCCAATGACATTTCTTATCAAGGGCAAATAGACAGATCTTACTACTGTTACATAGTTTTATAGTCGTCAAATTTCGCCTGTGACGATCAGGATGACTGGAAGGAAAACAATCACACCGTCATATTAGATGACGATGTGTGATCAAAAACAGGTTGATAAGTTTAATTAGTTCCACCAAACAACTTCTTGAGCCTCTTGACTTCTCGGATAGCAAGCAATGTGGTGTTGGCCACAATTGGAGTCGGCAAATCATTCAGGAATAAGGCGAAATCTAGTACCTGGATACCCGGGTTGTCGCTGCCAAAGCTTACATAGAGCACTGCAGGTATCTTACCAATGTTATATTGGAAATGCAGCAATCCCTGTGGAACAACAAAGATATCACCTGTCCTGAGAGTTTTGATATAGACTCGATTGTCGGTAGAAGCCACGAAGCCGGCTTTAATAATTCCTCACAAGAATGATCTGTGAGGCTCCAGGGTGACTGTGAAATGGTACTACACCGCGCACCTCTATATCCACACGGGCAAGGGAGATTCCCAGGCCGTTCACACCAGCAAAATCGGGAGCAAAAGCAAGGGTCACCCCTGTCCGGAAGACATTGTTAGTGTTGCCTTTAGTGGCCAAGGAGTAAAAGAAATCCTCGGCAACCACTTGAGAAGGATTTTTGCAAGAGAAACCTGCTGGTCCATTAGGCAAACTCAGGTCTGCGACGCAAAAGTCCACCACTGAAGCCTCCGTTGTAAAGGCGACAGTAGTGAGGAGTGAAAGAAACAGGAAGGTACGCATCAACATCTTCATTTTAATTGTCGCTAAAAGGGACGTGGCGATAGTCGTCGTGTTTCCTTTACTGACATTTTCTTCGCATTTTATACACACGCTAACTAAAGAGAGGATGAATTTATTCACATTTTAATAGGTTTGGTAAATTGGTTTGTGCATCTATAGGGTGGGTGGCCTTTTCTTGGCGCAGCTTAATAAATAATTTTGGCAGAGTTGCCAACCACATTTGGTAATACCAGCTCATTGTTTCATTTGGTAAACAGATAGTTTTTGGCAAATGAAACTTGAAAGTTGTTAGCATTTAAGAAAAAGCTACCACAATATCCATTAAAATGAAATCCACTGACTGCAACAATCTGATTATTCAGATACTTGAATCCAACAACCCGCGAGGAAGAACACTGATTGATTGATTGACAGACATTCTTAACTAAAAACAAAGAGAGTGAATCATAATTTTCTTTCCGAAAACATCTTCGTACAATTTGTTGAAAGAGAAGTCGTCTTGTTAATTTGTGACTCCGAGGACTCCTTTAAGTTTAAGCTTCTTGATTTGACCAACATCAAGGGAAGTTGTTTTCGCGACAATTTCTATCGGCAAATCTTTATTGAAGAAAGCGAAATCAGTGATCTGTACACCAGGGTTTTCACTGCTAAAGCTGATCTTTCTAGAATTGAATTGGGAATGCAGCAACCTTGTGGATTGAGTCATGTTTTAATTTTTTTACCGTAGTTTAAGTATGTGTTACAGGTAGTTTAGTTTTTGAAATATTAGTAGTTGGTTCGTTTACAAGTAGTGCGAGTTATCCATCCCTTTGTAAGCGCTTTAGGAAAATATGTATCTATTACCAGGTTTGTAGAATAGTAATTTATTAATTCTTGTGTTGAATCTCTTCTCCTTCTAACTCCAAGGAGTTTGATCGTACTCGAATAAGATTATTACAGTAATCCAGCAGAAGAGTTAAAGCACTAGTAACTGTGAATAAATCACTTAACTGATTTATCAGAGTACACAAAAGTGACATTTCTCATTAAGGGAAGTACTTCGTACATTTCTTACTTAGTTTTGGAGTCGTCAAATTTTGCCTGTGACATTCAGGATGAATGGAAGAAGACATTCAGGATGAATGGAAGAAGAAAACAATCACCATTATTGTAGAACATGATGATGATGCATGATCAAACAGGTTGATATAAAAGTTTAATTGGTTCCATCAAACAACCTCTTGAGTCTCTTGACTTCGCGTGGAGCAATGAATATGCCGTTGGACACAATCTCAGTTAGCAAATCACTCTGGAACAAGGCGTAGTCAGTAATCTGACCAGTCGGGTTGTTGCTGCTAAAGCTCGAAAAAAACCACCACAGGAATCTTACTAATGTTGCATATGAAATGCAACAATCCTTGTGGAAAGACAAAGATAATGCCTTTCCTGAAAGTTTGGTTGCAATTATGAACAGGTCATGGGTCATGCAAATATCCAAGCGTCACCATTTGAAGAATGATTGATTGGTGACTAATATGGAGTCGAAGATTCTGATTTTTGTTGAAAATTTTAGTTTGTAAAATAAAATATTTAATTTAGAATTTAAGGATAATAATTAAATTGACAATTCTTCACATGCATGGTGGTTATTTCCTACAAGCCAAGGGTTGTGTACTTAATTTGTATTCTTTGTTTCTACAAGTGTTGCCTATAAATAGGTGAACTAGTGCAGGATTTCATTCAAACTTTTGCATTCCTAAATTCTTGAGAACATTCAAAAATTACAAATTGCATGTTCTTGTGTTCTTTATGTCATAGAGGCAAATTGCCAAACAAACCCGGTATTGCAACATGGAGGGGACAAATATTGTCTTAAGGACAGTGGCTAACGCGATTAGAACACATCTAAATCTTGTGATTCCCCCATTATTGTAAGATTCAAGTTTCTAATAATAAAGTTCACAAATCTTGCATTTTTATTCTTTATTGTCTTTTGTGTTGTCTCTTTGATTACCATCCCCATATACTTTCAATCTTAAGATAATATCTGAGCCATAATTTTGGTACAAGTATTTAAAGAGACAAAGATCAAAGACTGTGGAAAGCAATGAAGATGGATCTTACAACATAGAGATTTTTTGGTGTGCTCAAAATGATTTCTCTATGGTTTAGTTCTGTAGTCAAGTTCTGAAGGCAGATCTAGAAAGATCTAGAGTATACTCAAGCGAGTATACAACAGATAAGTTTCTGATTTATATACATTAACTTTTTGTAAATGTTTTCTCTGGAATTACAAATTCAAAGTAAATAAATCCATGACGATAATTTTGAAGTTTGTAGATTTGTGTTTTTAATTTTGTATTAACCAAATCTAGTGTTGTGAAAATTATGTGGATTAATTGGTATATAAGATCTTATAATAATTATTTATTAGTGATCTTAAAGTGAATTTTGTTGACAGCAACAAAACATGCAATGAATGTGTTTTCATGAATTTCTTAGTTTCAAGAAATGTGAAAGACATGCTGTTATAATTATGTTAACATTGGCCTTCATGTGAAAAGGTGTAAATATTTATTATTCAAACTAGTAATGCCAATTGAGTTGAAAAAACTATAATTATAGTACTTGTAATTTTATTGCATGTATAAACATATTATGCTAATGTCCGTCGACCTTATCGTCGGGTAATTTGAGTCGACAGAACAATCGAGACTTATTGGAATGTGTTATATTTTTATGTTTAGGTCAGTCGACTTTGTCGTTAATTATGGTAAAGTGGATAGAAAAGTCGACGTTAATTAGAATGGCTCACTATTCTGTTTATCCACTTTGTCGTCAATTTTGGTAAAGTTGACATAAAAGTCGACGTTGTTTTGAATATTTCGCCATTATGTTTTGTCGATTTTGACGTCAAACTTGATAGAGTAGACATAAAAGTTGACGACTGAAAAACATAACCAAATTTTAATAATTTTTTGGACAATTTTAGTTCTGAAAATTTGATAGTATTTATAAAATTAAATGTTTTATACATGTGAAAGTTTCTTAGCATGTAAAAATATGGTTATGACAAATCGAAATTGACAACTTTTATGAAAAATTGTGATTTCTTGATTTTTGGATGAATAGAGACATACTAAGTGTTTTTGCCTTGTGAGTTCAATTGAAAAATACAAATTAAAATTATTTCTATTGACTCTAAGTGATAAGACAAACATTGTGGTTCCAAGTGAAAAGACATATTAGAAAAAAAAAATATGTCGATTGGTTCAAAATGAAAAGACACGAGTAAAAGTCATGTCTATTCATCCAAATGACATATTGAGGTTTATGACCTTTGTTTATAACCAAGTATTATTTTTGGAGTGAAACTTTTTGAATTTACAATGCTTACTTTTGCACAGTTATTTTCAATATCAATACATTTGATATGGTGTTCTGCTTTGACTTTTTTATTATTTGTGGCTGATAAGGTATTGTATATCTGCATAAGATATAAATTAATTAGTGTCATATGACTTGATAATAAAAATGTGAAACATATGCATAAACCATGGTTGCAAGTTTACTTCCAAATAAAAGCTGGAAGTTATTGCTGGTACAACACTTTGTTGTGTGTGAACTTGATAATTTTAAATTAAGGGATGCAAAGAAATATTTTGTCACTTTTATAGATGATTCCTCATGTTTGTGTGTAGGTTTATCTAGTGAAAATGGTGGAGAAAATATTTGATACATTTTGAATGTAAATCCCTAGTCTAAAATTATTGTAGTAGGTAAAATGAACTAGTATTTAATAAACAACAAATAGTGTAGCTAGAAATATAAAACTCTATGTGTCATGGCAATGCTATATTTGTGAGTTTAAGTAGCCAAAAGCTTTGTGGAATAAATATTATTAAATACTTGTCATTTGTATAATTAAACTCCCTAAAGACTAAAGTGTCTTCATGTGGAATATGGAAGGGAGGAAAATTGTATTATCGAACATATCAATGTGACACTACATATTGTTGTTTCATTATTGCGACCAAGAACACTTAAGTGTGTGGTTATATGAACATTAAAGTATCTAAGTTACTTATCATTGATTATAATATATTAGTAATCAATGGATGTAGATACATTTAAAATTTTATTTTTTCAAAGCTTCTCAAACAAGTAGCTAATGTACGATCTACTGAACCTCTCAGTTTCTAAAGTGCAAATGGTTCTATGAGCGAACCAAAGAGAAAGATATTGACTTTCTGGTTTAAGCAAAGTAAAAAACTTATAAAAGTTCTCTTGGAAGTTATATCCTCTAAGGTTATTGACTTCCTAGTGAGAGCAATAAAATACTCTACTAAGTAAAATTTTATGATGGTTTTTGTAGAATAAGTTAAAACCAACAGGTTTTTGAATTTTAGGCTGATGCATTTTGGAAAGAAGAGCAAATGATACAATGGACTTGACATTGGCTAATAATGCATGTGTCCAAATTGATTTACTTCGAAAGGTTCTAAACTAGTACATTGTAAATGGTTATTCCATTAGTAATATGTTATTGATAGAAAGATACATCAATTGTATATTTGGACTAGAAGTGTCATGATTGCTTTGATTAGTTTGACTTGCATATTTTATCCTACTGGCTAGAATTTTCCATTTAAGTTTTCATGTTCACCTGTGAAATATATAAAGTATTATCTTAGTGGTGACTCATATGAAAATGTGTATTTGGAACTTCTTAAATGGTTTGTGCTATGAAGTGATAAAAAAAAATGTGTACTAGTGAAGTCTTGATTCGATTTTATACAATTGCATGGTGATTGATCTAAGTTACTCTCACATGGTGTACATATGTTTTAAATTGCATATATAAAAATTTTTGTGAGAGTATGTAATAGATGCTTGTTTTTGTATAGATATTTATACTCAATGCATATACAAATTTCAAAACGTGCAGTGAATACTAAGAAAAATCCTTCTTTTAAGTCCAAATTAAATGAGCATGGTGAAAGAGGTAATGTCTTAGTCATTATACTAAAGGAATAGTTGGAGTTTTGTACTTTCTTATTCATATGATGTTAATAAGTTATTAACAAAGTGTCAACATGTGAATATGAAGAAAATTTGTACTCTTATGATTTTATATTTATCATTTGTGTTAAATGTGACAATCCAATTACTAAACTAGAATCTTCTAGTGACATTGGATGTCTTGTATGTGCATTAGAGATGTGTTAACGCATTCTTTGTGGTATGTGACTCACTGATTACACTAAGTGCCTAAGTAAGATCATTACAAATCTAATACTAAAATTATAATGTGTCTTTGAAAGACTAAGGTTTATGATTTTATCATAACTGATTAGATTTATGTTGTTCTTAAGGGCTATTCGAATGCTAGCTGGTATTCTAGCATTAGTAATTATAACCTGTTAGTGGTTAGAAATTCATGCTTGGTAGTGAGAGATGTTTCTTGATAAGTGAAACAAGCAGTAATCACTCTCTCCAATATATAAAGGAAAGAAAAGCCGAATTTGTTAAACTCTCTTCAGTACATAAGGAGGTGAAGTGGCCAAAGGGCCCTGGCCTGTGTCGCCTGTAACCTTATGTTGTGATAGTTAGATTAATATGTCCTGAACATTGTGTAAAATTTGATAATGGGTAAATATAGACATATTAATTCAAGATATGTATTTCTTAGTGAGATACAAATGTTGATGTTGTCGGTGTTGTGTTTGTGAAAACACAATTTTGTTATGGATCCATGTACCAAATCTCTTGCGAGAGAATTTGTGTTTTTTGACAACATGAGAAATGTGAGTAACATCTCAATACTAAAATCACGAACAATGAAAACCCAACCTTCTCCTAGTACTACCCCAAGATTGCAAGGTTTAAAGGGTAACAACAAATTGTTTTGTGGTTGTGAGCATCAAAATTCGTGTATACCATTCCAAGTATTGGTGTATTATAAATGTTACTCTTAAGTGAGCAGGTTGAGAGAAATCTCTGAATGAAATTATTCCTGAACATTTCATTACGGTATAGTAATAAACTAGAATAACTTCCACCTATTTGATCACAGAGGTGTGTCGCTTCTAGCAAAAGTTTGAGATTATATTTTGTATATGATCAAGAATCTAGGATGAGCACATGGCCGGTAATAGTGCTAAATCATAATGTCAATTATAAGGAATGCTATGGGTGTTTGTGCGTGAAATATTAAGTCTATACTAGACTGATTATTGGTTTAAGCAACGAGCCACCAATAACTTAGCTAGTTAAGTGACTTAATTTCAGTACGATGTAGTTTAAGACGAAAGTTATCACCTCTTAAGCGTGATTCTCATGATTGTATAATTATTTTATAATACAAACTAATTGGGAGAATGTTGGAAATTTTAGTTTTTAAAATAAAATAATTAATTTAGAATTTAAGGATAATAATTAAGTTGACAACCCTTCCTTGCATGGTGGTTATTTCCTACAAGCCAAGGGTTGTGTACTTAATTGATATCCTTTGTTTCTGCAAGTGTTACCTATAAATAGGTGAACTATTGCAAGATTTCATTCAAACTTTTGCATTCCTAAATTTTCGAGAACATTCAATAATTGCAAGTTGCATGTTCTTGTGTTCTTTATATCCTAGAGGCAAATTGCCAAACAAACCCGGTATTACAATATGGAGGGGGCAACTATTGTCTTAAGCACAGTGTCTAACACGATTAGAACACATCCAAATCTTGTGATTCCCCTGTTTTGGTAAGATTCAAGTTTCTAATAATAAAGTTCATAAATCTTTCATCTTTATTCTTTAGTGTCTTTTGTATTGTTTCTTTAATTACCACCCTGTATACTTTCATCTTCTTAGTTCCACTTTTTGAGTTTTCAAGTATGATTTGTTTATTTATATAATCATAAAGCTGTAATTACCTGTACTAAAGATTTTGGGGAAAAAAAATCTTTGCAAGTCAGATGATCAACATTTATTATTTGCTACACCTTGATCTCAGATTTTTAATTAAACCAATTGATATTAGCAAGTTCATATGGTATGGGTAGCATATACTAACTCATCAACAGAGTACTACTTTCCATAAAAAGAGAACTTCTTGTTGTTGGACTAAAAATAGTTCGACATTTTAAATCTTGTTGCACAACGGTGGGTTTATATTCATAAGGGTAGCTCGTTCCATCGAGCCCCAAAAACACATACCATACATCTTCTCCTTCCCCTCCCTCCCCTTTTTTCTTCCCTTCCCTGCGCTAATAAGACTATATATCAACCTTATTAATAGACCTTCAGATGATGATCATGGTAATAATTCGTACTCCTGAATATTGTTGCACAAGGGCAGTGCAGCTAAGTGATGATGCATGAGGCATGAATGATGACAGTGCAATATGTGAAAATAAAGATAATTGCCAGAATAAATGTGGTTACAACTGGTAAGGTCATTGCAAATTTGCACTAACAATCCGCTGCTGCAACTTGTTCATTCCAATAATTCCAATAACAAATGAACAAATGTTCTTAAACAATTCATAACGTGTTTTCGTATGAATATTTTTTTCCCTTGCCGCTTCCTATCGAAGGTTATTTTTCCCCTGGATACATTAGTAGAGAAAAATCTTAACCTAAATATATATCACACTCAAATTAATTCTCATTCAATTATAAAAATCTACATGACATTTCAGTCGTGAGTTTTAAAACATTCTTCAGCTCCCTGTACAAAATACCAGTTCTATATTGTATATATATTTACGTGGTTTTGCTGATCCATTCCTCACCTTGAATGAAGTTTCCAACACTAAAAGCCTCAACATGTTCTTTAGGAATCCCATTGCTCCAACGCACATGAGCTTTCGTATCAGCTCCGGGTCCTCGATTCCCAAATTCCGCATAATATAGTGTCGCCAATCCGGTCGATCCCCCGTCCCAAGACATCCATCCCGGTGGCGAAATTAGGGATTCCAGAGTAGAATTAATAAAAACAGTCCTGGAAAATTCCTTCCAGGGCCGCCCGAGGAAGTTCTGATGGATTCCGGGTTTGCTCTTGCACAACGCCATGTATTCTTCGGTACCATTGATCAAGCAATTATAGAATACAAAACCCGTCGATTGAGCCGGGTCTCCCCTGGATTGTGCCGTCACGGCGTTGTTTTCCCCGGCTTCGGGATTTGCCTGCCGCAGAACGATGAGGATCGTGCAATTCTGGAACACTGCGGCAGCATTCCCGAAGATGAAGTCGACGTTTCCTAGGATTCGGCAAGATTTGTAGTATTGTCGGAGGGAATGCGCGTACAGCGTGTCTTGATTTCCAAGGAATTCGCAAGTTTCGATTACTGAGAGATCGGATTGTGATCGGAATGCTACTGCTTGGTATGTCGGAGGCCTGGCTTTGTTCTGGAAAGTGATGTTACTGGCCATAAACCCGTCTCCCAGGACCGCCACCGTGGCCGAAAAATACGTCGACATTCCGGGCATTCCGACACTCAATGATCCTGTAATCACAGTTTTACCCATTCCATCTCCTAAAAACACCACATTTTTCTTCAAATATGGCACCTGGACGATTTCCTCATAGACACCGGACTTGATCCATATCACGAATTTTTGTCCAACCGAAGCGTTGTCCAGAGCCGCATTCACGGCATCTTGCACTTTCTCGTACTTGCAACCACCACCTTTACACACGGTGACGTTTGCTACCAACCCACTGGGTACCCCGCCGGAAAAGCCGAACCGAGCTTGGATCCAGATCCGTCAACCCGTTCCCAAAACCCGTTTCGCTCGGTCTGGACGGGGCTCCATGATCCGGGTTTGTCGCCGAAATTATCGTAGTTCACCAACATTGCCAATGCGTTGCTGGTCAAGCCAGCTAAACTGTTTAGGGTCGCCACCGTGGCGTTGGTGGCGGAATCCTGCTTCACGTTCGCCAACCCGGAGGGGCACCCGGATTCGTAAGACAAAGCCGCGCTCAACCATGAACGTGCGTCTTTCATCCTGCCACGCGTCAAGGCATCAATGGTGGCATTCGTCCTCTGTTGCGCGTTGATCAGGCCTTCCAGGCAGCCTTTCGCGGCGGTCGTGAGGTTGACGTCCTTGGCAGCCATCGCGGCATCCAGCAAGGAACTCACCGTGGCTGCCGTGAGGTTCTTCGAGGATGCCTGCGTGGCCAATTGGATGATGCTCAAGAGGGTCGCATTTTTTGGATCCGGCACAACGCCTGATTGGGAAAGTGTAGTCACACACGCCGACGTGTCGCGTGACGCTTTGCATGATTCGCCGATGAGGCCAGTCGCATTCCCGGCCACTGGTTGCTGCGGAGGGCGGGCGGCGGTGATAATGTTAATGGAGGAGAGGGATAGGAGGAGAAGAAGAAGGGACACGAGAGATGAAGAAAGATTTGAAGTCATTTTTAATTCTTTTTTTGGAAAATTAAGAAATGGAAGAGATCTTTTATAGGCAATAATTCAAACAGAAAATCAAAGAAAGGATAATTCTTAAGGACGGAATAATCGGGTAAGAACTTTTTTTTTTTTTCTGAAAAGGGGGTAAGAACTTGTGCCACAGATAAAAATACTACTACTACTTTTTCTTTTTTTACACATACTATTACAACCACCTAAACTATTTCACTTTTAATCGGTAAAATAATAATAATAATAATAATAATAATAATAATAATAATAATAATAATACCAATTATTATAAAATAAATATAAACTATAGAACAAAGAACTATGAGAGAGAAAAAGAGAGAATTCAGGTGAATCTTATTCGATAGGGACTGACCTCTATTTATAGGCGAGTAGATACAGAGATAAGATCAACGAATATGATATCTAACTAAATATTATCTCTATACATGGAATCTTAATATAATTCTCATACCTTGTTGACATCCACATTATTAATATATTTATGATACTAATCAGTTTTTGATTTCTGCTCAGATTTTTTAAAAAAATGAACCAATTAATAGTTAACATTTAGCAACTTCTTATGGATGATCATAAATTTTCTAGTTTGGATGTTCCTTAGTATCCTAATTAACAACACGAATCGTTACTTACAGCATTGTTGGAAGATGTGAACAAAAGTTCCTAAGGCATAACAATGATGGCTTGTATCCATAATGAATTGTTACATTATCGTTGGAAGATGTGGATATTTACGGTTTCAGTATGGTTACGATAGATGTTGTGGTACAACGTACAAGTTTGACTTACAATGATATATATCCACAAAGGAAATGTAATTGCAGAACCTGTACATATATTGAGATTAATTAATGGTTTCCTAATTCATTATTTCGATACTGATTGGTCATTTTATTTTTCTTAATATTTTCAAGAATCTTGAAAATTAAAATCTCTTGATGAATAATACAACGTTCACTTATATTGTTAGGACTAGTACAGATTCCAGGGCTATTGTTGTTTTATTATTATTTGTAATTTGTTTTATTTGTCATTTGATTGTTCTTGTTTTACTATTCATATTCTTCTTTCTTTTCTTCTCTTTTCTCTGTCAGTGAAGAATTTGTCCTAACGCAAAGATTCAGTTTTACTAACTATATACTTCTATATAATTTTCTTCTATTATAAAGACGTAAAGACGAACCTATAGGCCTGTTTAGCGCATTTCCAAAGTAAACCTAAGCGGCTTTGGAAAGTAAGGATCGAGTGAAACGATTCATTATGAACTCGTTGCTGATTGTAATTATTTTTTTTTTTGACTTTCATTCAAATTATATGCTTTTACCCTTCTTTTAGTTTCAATGATGTATGATTTTATTTACTTTCGAAAGTTCTTTCATTGGTCTTTCTAGAAACAAAACATTTTTGTTTCTTTTAAAGTCGTTTATAGGGAAAGGAAAAAAGGCAATTGAAAAATTGAGATCAGAATTGTTATATTGAGAGCAATTATTTTTCAATTGGTATATTTACTATATTTGACTGTTCCTTGTTTTTCTCTTGTTCATTATGACATAAGCAAAAAATTCTCTCAACTTTCTTGTTTTTCCTTTTGTTGATTATAACAATAAGGATTAAGAATATCCATAGTCCATACTTTTCACAAAATTATATCATCTCTTAACACATAATTCTTAAAAAATTGAAGGATTTCCAATAAAAAATAAGAAGAATTTTTAATTTTAATAATTTTATAATACTTATTTTTGTTCTATACTCTGACTAGATTGATGAGGAAATTTAAATTTTTTGTAAACGTGTTTCATCGTTGAAAAAGCATTATACTTCTTAAGCATTTATGAATTTAAATAACTTCCATGATCAAATCCTTAGAGTGAAATACGGAATTTGGGGTGGTCCAAAAAAAATTAAAATGACAAAAAAAAATTAAGAAAAAGAAGAAGAATAAAAAAAATTCAATAGAAAGATGCATTGCAACGTTTTCTGGGCACACTACTCTTCTTCTTCTTCTTCTTCTTCTTCTTCTTCTTCTTCTTCTTCTTCTTCTTCTTCTTCTTCTTCTTCTTCTTCTTCTAAGGTTGGGGGGAGTTAACCTGGATTAGTAAAGAAAATCAAACGTAGAAGTTTCCAGTAAAGAAGGAAGAATGCTAGAGATGTCGGTCGGTTGAGGCTCGGAAGAAATTGAGTTGCTAAATATTTTACAATTACTTGTTTATTAGATCATTGAAGAAAAGAAAAAAAAAAAAGGAAAAATAGTAAGAAAGAGCTGAGTTTACTAAGAAAATCATAAAAAAGGTATTGTAGAGATTTTAAAAAATTTTACTCTCGATATAAAAAAGTTGTTCTCAGTTTATCATTTGCCCAAAAAAAAAAAAAATGCATTCTCCTTTGAAACTCTTAGAGCTAGAAAATTAATGTACCCCTTTTGCATTTTACAAGTTTGTTTTAGGTTTCCTATTAATAGGGTAAAAAAAAAAATTTAACATCAAATACGAAGATTCCTTTCGGGGCAAACCAAAAGGAAAATTCAAGGATGATATCCTATTTATATATGAGGTGATGAAGGTATTGCTGAGCTTGTTGAATAGGACAAGAGATCATTTTTCTTCATCAATGTCTACCCTTATTTGTCCTGGTTGGAAAATCCCTAATGGCTTATTCACGGCCAAATAATTCATCACTGGAAACGGTTTGAAGTTTGAACCACGCAAACCTCCTTGATCATATGCTGGATGGATTCCATATTCATTTTGCAGCAATTTCTGAATCACTTTGGCCTTATTCAAGGGACATTGATGTTCACCCTGGATCAAAAATCCAAATGCAATCCCACATAATGGTCTTGGCAGTGGGGGAGAATATGGTAGATTCAAGGGCTGCTAAATTTAGGTTCAATTTGTAATGAAGGAGAATGATATTTGGGATTATCTTACAGTTGCTCCATTGAAAGAGTATCCTACTATCAATCTCTTTCAAGAAGTGCACATGCAAGCTATGCGTATTTTAGTGCATTATTAGGCTGTCACCTCAATGAGTCTTGCAATAATGCAAACTGCCACATCGATGATATTGATTCAACTAAATGGAATTTATAATCCAGAACCATTACTTGATTGTTTAAAAGTTGCAAGGTCTCTTGATTTATAAACCTCAAATCATTCTTTTTTTTTTTTTTTGGGGGAATCTAGAACAATAATAAAATTAATAAAAAGAAACCAATACATTACAGTTTATGATGCAGTATTACAATGCATTAAAAATAATCTATTTGTCCTAAAATTATTGTTCCAATTTAGATTTGTATTTTTAGTTTAATTCGTATTAAAGAGAAAGAGAAGAACGTCATAAATGGCTTTCAAAGACACAGTAAATATGCAGAATTAATACCCTAATAGTGATTTTTTAAAGAATTACATAAAAAAAAATTCCCTTTATTTAGTCTGTCTTTGTAAGTCATTTATGGCTTTCTTCTCTCTTTTATTTTTTAATGCATTAATGTGGTGTGTCCATACAAATTATTGGAATAGAGAAACACATGCATGTTTAAGGTTCATCAAAAACTTTAATGTATTCGTTTCTTTTTATTATTGTTGCAGTAATGCTTAGTCGCATGTATCTTTAAACATCTCGATTCTTTGTGGCATAGAATAGGACAATGGCAGCCACTTTTCACGTTGAATTATCCGGTCTCGAATTCCTCCATTTCTTTGAACAAACTCGTAACCATTTCTCTTTATCTCAGTTTGTCTAGCCCTCTCTACTTTTAGTTGTATGAAAGTATGAACTGGAGGATGTTTCATTCTATATGGTACTTATACGCATTACAAATCAACTTTAATTGGTTAGGTAATTATTTACAATATTTTCTTTTATTACGCTGCAGAAGATTGGTACGTAGTTTTTATTTTAAAATCCACCCTTTATTTTCTCAATAGTAGACCTTATCTAAAATGAAAGATGTTATTCTTAAATGAAGTAAATACTCCTTCCCGTCTATAAAAGTAATCTACTTTTTTCAACTTTACATTTCAAAAAAATAGACAATTTAAATTTATGAGACATAAGTAGTTAATTTAGTAACTGAATTATTTGTACAAATAATATTATACAGTTATTATTTAGGAAAATATTTCCATCCTTTTCTTGAAAAAAGATACCAAACTACGTACTCCCTCTGTCCCAAAATTATTGTCCAGTTTGGATTTTCACTTTTATTACAATTTGAACTAGAAATGAAAACTCAAACTGGACAATAATTATGGGACGGAGAGAGTATATACTAAAAGAAATGCAAATAAATGTAATTTTCTTGATACCCTGGAAACCTTATATATAATACCACCACGAATATTATGAATATCATCCAATTCATACTCTCTCAAACGACAACCAAAAGAAAAAGGAAAAAAAAAACATATCCGTTGAAGAAAATATTATGGAAAAGAGCAATAACATACTTTTTTCCCACTTTTGTTTAAAGAATCTATAGTATTATATTATACTAAGAGAGAAACCAGAGAGAGAAAACAAAAAAGAATTCTAAAGGTGCCACATAGGATAAAATCCTATGTGTTATTTTTCTAATGGTTGAGTCAAAAAATATTTACAACAATTATACTAATAGTCCTTCAAATTTATGTAAATAAAATTTTATCAAATGGCATTTAAAATTATAGTTTAAAATAGAAAAATAAAAATTAATTAAATTTAATTGCCGGAATTAAAGAACATTAATGCACCAGAATTATTTCCTTCCCGAAAGAATCCCCAAAGTTATTACTTGACTCATTTAATTAATTTCTTTTAAAAAAAATCTCCCTCCCAATCATGTAAATCAATAGACTACAATTCAAAAAAAAAAAAAAAACCCAATCATTCAACATTAATGTTATCTTTAAAATCTTCTCTAAAAAATATGACCCTGTATTTTTTCGCCAATAAAAAAGAAAAAAAAGGTACAAAACTTGCCTTCAATT